TTGCCACGCTGGTTTCAAACTGCTGACCTCAAGTCATCCACCGGCCTTGGCCTCCCAAAGTGCTGGGATTACGGGCATGAGCCACTGAGCCCGGCCTTCACTCCCGCTTTCTTCTGTTTGGGATTCATTTGATTCATTTCTTCAACATATGGGGGTGTTTGGAGCTTTTGTTTGTGTTTGCTTTTCTTTTGGACTAAAACTTATCACTTGAGGCTGTGAAGGGTGCAGATAGGATCTTGTGAATCTTACGTTCTAAAAGGGGAAGCAGGAAAGGACCCTTGAAGGCAGCATGGGGCCGGGCGTGGCGGCTCACGCCTGTAAGCCCAGCACTTTGGGAGGCCGAGGTGAGCAGATGATTTGAGGTCAAGAGTTCGAGACCAGCCTGGCCAACATGGTGAAACCTTGTCTGCACTAAAAATACAGGCACCTGTAATCCCAACTACTCGGGAGGCTGAGGCAGGAGAATCACGTGAACCCGGGAGGTGGAGGTTGCAGGGAGCTGAGATGGCACCACTGCACTCCAGCCTGGACAACAAAGCGAGACTCCATCCCCCGCACCTGCTCCCCAAAAAAGAAAACAGTGTGGAATGGATTTTGGATGGTGAGAATGTCCAAAAAGGAAAGTTCCCCCACGCGATGTGTCCAGCAGTTAAGAAGATCTCTTAGATTGAGTGGCCTGAGGGCTAACGTATGTGATAACATAGCCAGGCTATGTGACCAGTTGTTTGGTAAAACACTAGTCTAAATGTTGCTAGAAAGGTATTTTATATTTCTTTATTTTTTTGGTCTTTTTTTTTTTTTTTCCTTTTTGTTGAGAACAGGGTCTCACCATATTGCCCAGGCAGGTCTTATACTACGGGGCTCAAGCAATCCTCCTACCTCTGCCTCCCTAAGTGCTGGGATTACAGGTGTGAGCCATAACACCTGGCTAGAAAGGTATTTTTCAGACCACATCAACAACCACAGTTGACTTTCAGGACAGGAGATAAGCCTAGGTATTGTGAGTGGGTTACACCTGATCAGTTGCAGGTCTAAGGAGTAAACACCGCAGTTTCCTGAAGAAGGAATTCTGCCTCAAGGTTGCAACTTAGAAATTCTGCCTGAATTTCCAGCCTTTAGGCTTTAAGACTGCAGTGCCACCTCTTACCCGAGCCCCGAGCCTCCAGCCTAACTGGCTTGTCCTGTGGACTTCAGACTTGCCAACTCCCATGATTGTGTGAGCTAATTTCTTAAAATAAATGTGTCACACACACTCTCTCTTTCTGACTCTATACTTCTCTCTGTCTCTCTCTTTTTCTCCGTCTGTCTTTACATCTCTGTGTCCCTGTCTCTCTAGCTTTCCGTGTCTGTCTCTTCTCTGACTCTGTATCTCTGTCTGTCTCTACAGATTTCTTTCTTTCTTTTTTTTTTTTTTTTTTTTGAGACAGAGTCTCATGCCACTGCGCAGTCTGGAGTGCAGTGGCACAATCTCAGTTCATTGCAACTTCTGCCTACCGGGTTCAAGTGATTCTCCTGCCTCAGCCTCCCAAGTAGCTGGGATTACAGGAGGGTGCCACTACAGTCAGCTAATTTTTTTTTTTTTTTTTTTTGTATTTTTGATAGAAACGGGGTTTTCCCCATATTGGCCAGGCTGGTCTCGAACTCGCGACCTCAGGAGATCCACATGCCTCAGCCCCGGAAGTGCTGGGATTACAGGCGTGAGCCAACACACCCAGCCTATAGATCTCCATCTCTATCTCTGTCTATCTTCTATCGGTTCTGTCTCTCAGGAGACATCTGACCAATACAGGGAGGGCTCCTGTGAGGAGAAGTTTCTTGAGTCAAGACACAGATGACCAGGGGGAGCCGGCTTTGGAGATCTAGGGAAGACAGTCTCCGGCAGCAGGAAGAGGAAGTGCAAAGACCCAGGACGTCTGCCTGGGGCAGAGTGAGCAAAAGCACAAGGGCCCAAGCTCAGAGGCCCCAGTGAAGGTCACTTGGTGTCTTAGCCTAAGGTCAGGGGCAAGCTGGCAGCAAACTGTATCTATAAAGGGCCAGATAAGTGTTTTCGGCTTTCAGAGCCGAGAGGTAAAATCCAGGATATTACAAAGATACTTTCGAAGCAAGACAGGAGCCAGGTGCAGTGGCTCATGCCTGTAATGCTAGCGCTTTGGGAGGCTGATGTGGGCAGATCACCTGAGGTCAGGAGTTCGAGACCAGTCTGGCCAATATATATACCACATTTATGTTACAACATATATAATGGCCAACATATAATACAAAAATTAGCCGTGCATGGTGGTGGGTGCCTGTAATTCCAGCTACTCAGGAGGCTGAGGCAGGAAAATTGCTTGAATCCAGGAGACAGAGGTTGCAGTGAGCCAAAATGGCACCACTGCACTCCAGCCTGGGTGACAGAGCGAGACTCTGCCTCAAAACAAAACAACAAAAAAAAAAACAAAGAAAGAGGCTGGGCTTAGTGGCTCACACCTGTAATCCTAGCACTGTGGGAGGCCGAGGCGGGCAGAACACGAGGTCAGGAGATCGAGACCATCCTGGCTAACACGGTGAAACCCCGTGTCTACTAAAAATACAAAAAAATTAGCCAAGCATGGTGGTGGGCATCTGTAGTCCCAGCTACTCGGGAGGCTGAGGCAGGAGAATGGCGTGAACCCCGGAGGTGGAGCTTGCAGTGAGCCGAGATCACACCACTGCACTCCAGTCTGGGTGACAGAGCGAGACTCTGTCTCAAACAAACAAACAAACAAGACAAGATCCAGGCACAGTGGCTCATGCCTGTAATCCCAGCACTTTGAGAGGCCAAGGTGAGAGGATCACTGGAACCCAGGAGTTCTAGACAAGCCTGGACAACATAGTGAGACCCAGTATCTATTATACGAACTTTTTTTTTTTAATTAACCAGGTGCAGTGGTGAGTGGCTGTGGTCCCAGCTACTTGGGAGGCTGAGGTGGATGGCTTGAGTCCAGGAGGTCAAGGCTGCAATGAGCTGTGATTGCATCACTTCACAACAGCCTGGGCAACAGAGCAAGACCCTATCTCAATCAATCAAACAAAGAGGAAATTTCCAGCATGGAATGCCCTGTTTGCTTGGGATGGGCCACCTGGGATGGTGGGCAGGCTTTGCTCCCAGCCACTGGAGACATTCTCTGGACAAGAGTGACCCGTCCAAGGGGGTGTTGCCTGGAGGTCCAGGCAGGTTGGGTTGGCAGGGATGAGGAGTGTCCACCAAAGTCAGTTTCTCTCTCTGCTCCAGGGACCCAGACCCCAGAGAACTTTTCACCAGCAAGTAGGTGGCCACCATCCCACACCGTGCTGGGATTACAGGCGTGAGCCATCGTGCCCAGATGAGTTACTCAATTTTTAAATGGGTTTGTTATGTGACTTTTCACCCCAACAAAACAAAATCCAAATAAATAAATAAATAAGTGAGCTCACAGTAGATAGAAGGTAGAAAGTGAATTTTAAAGTGGCAACAGATGAAGCAGGACATCTAGGCATCTAATGAGGAAGCTACTGCAACAGTCCAAGCGAGAGATGAGGGTACCTTAGTGTCTCAGTCAGCTCGAGATGCTCTCAAGATACCATAGACTGCATGGCTTAGATGACAAGCGTTTATTTATCATAGTTCTAGAGGCTGGAAGTCCAAGAGCACAGTGAGATTCTGGTGAGGGCTCTCTTCTTGGTTTACAGACGGCTACCTTCTTGCTGCATCTTCACATGGAGGAGGCAGTGAACATCTCATGTCTCTTCCTATATTGGTACAGATCCCACCACGGGGCTCCACCACCATGACCTGATTACCTCCCAAAGGTCCCATCACCTAACACCATCACACTGGGGATTAGGGCTTCAACATATAAATTGGAGGTTGGGGTGGGGCGGACACAAACATTCAATTCATAGCACCGAGCTAGGGTGGTAGCAGCAGGGATGGAAACAGGTGGCGGGATTTGAGATCTGGTTTGGAGGTTGAATGAACAGGACTCGCTGCAGGGTAGAATGTGAGGACAAGACAGAGGGAGGGACTCCCAGGTCTTAGGCTCGGCTCACTGGGTGAACAGTGGTTCTAACACCTGACTATGAGTTCCAGTTTTTAAAATCCACACATGAATGCATGCACACTTATACATGGACCTCCCCACACACATGCACACACCCGTGCAAGTGCACACGCACACATGAATGCATGCACACTTATACATGGACCTCCCCACACACATGCACACACCCGTGCAAGTGCACACGCACACATGAATGCATGCACACTTATACATGGACCTCCCCACACACATGCACACACCCGTGCAAGCGTGCACACACACACATGCACCAATGCACAGGTACACACATGCACACACCTGCACACAGCACATATATGCACACCCACTTGCACATGTGATGCATGTACACACATACACACACGTGCACATGCATGCAGGTACATGGACCAAATGCACATGCACACAGATGCACAACACACATGTATGCATGCACCTGCCCACATGAGCACACACATTTACACGCCAGCACATGTATGCATACACAGGCATGCACATGTGCAAGTGTGTACACAATACACACTTGCATGCACACAACTGCATACACACATCCACATGCACACACCACACACATATATGCATGCAGACTCAGGCACACACACAGAGCACACATCCACTCCTTTATTCCGCTCTCGTATTTTTCACTGCACTTGTCACATCCAAACACAACAGAAGGCCAGGCACAGTGGCTCATGTTTGTAATCCCAGCACTTTGGGAGGCTGAGGTGGGCGGATCGCTTGAGGTCAGGAGTTTGAGACCAGCCTGACCAACACAGTGAAACCCCGTCTCTACTAAAAATCCAAAAAGCAGCCAGGCATGGTGGCACGCGCCTGTAATCCCAGCTACTTGGGAGGCTGAGGCAGGAGAATCACTTGAACCCAGGAGGTGCAGGTTGTTCTAAGCTGAGATCGTGCCACTGCACTCCAGCCTGGGCAACGAAGCGAGACTCCCTCTCAAAAAACAAAAACAAAAACAAAAACAAACGCACAACATTTTATTTTCTTGTTTATGAGGTTTCTTGTCTCTCTGGCTTCACCAGGAGAGGAGCACCATCGAAGCAGGGAACCTTGTCGCCATTGTTCTCTGCCGCATTCCCCACACCTAGAGCACAGCCTGGCATGGACAGAAGGTCCTCAGGAAATATCTGGTGGCCCCAAGCAAAAGAAGCATCCAGGAAGGGAAAGCTGGGGGCTCCCCACTGCACTTGCCACTTGAGTCACATTTTCAGAAGCCTCTGGAAAGTGTGAGAGTCTGCATGAGTGAGAGTGAGACAGGGCCAAGGCCGGGGGCGGAGGGGACAGGAAGAAGAGGAAGGTGAGTGGGGGAAGGGGTGGGGCTGAACCCCAGCTCTAAAGGCGGCCCTTGGGTGTCTGTCCGCAGCGTGCACAGCCCAGGAGGGTTGAGCAATTTTGGTTTCCTCTGAGGTTGAAGGACCCAGGCGTGCCAGCCCCACTCCAGGCACCTTGGGCATGGAGGAGAGTGTCGTACGGCCCTCAGTGTTTGTGGTGGATGGACAGACTGACATCCCATTCACGAGGCTGGGACGAAGCCGCCGGAGACAGACGTGCAGTGTGGCCCGGGTGGGTCTGGGTCTCTTGCTGTTGCTGATGGGGGCCGGGCTGGCCATCCAAGGCTGGTTCCTTCTGCAGCTGCACTGGCGTCTGGGAGAGATGGTCACCCGCCTGCCTGTGAGTGGGACCGGGGGGCTGACAGTAGGTGGAGGCGAGGGGGGCTCTCCTGTGTCACTGTGGGTCACTGCATGTCTGTGTGTGTGTGTGTGCAGGACAGGGCACAGGCTGAGAGCAGCTGGCTCGACTGGTTGCTGCTCTCAGCCTTGGGCAAGTGAATTCACCTCTCTGAACCTCAGTGTCTTCATCTACAAAATAAGGGCAACCTCTTCATAGGGGACGAAGTATGCTACGGCGTGTGTGGTACCAGACAGTGCCGGCTCCACCCGTCGGAACTGACACCCCAACACTGCCATGCACACCCCTGTGCACACACACATGCATTTTTTCTGTACTTTTTAATTTTCGAGACAGAGTTTCACTCTTGTTGCCCAGGCTGGAGTGCAATGGCGCGATCTCTGCTCACCACAACCTCCGCCTCCCAGGTTCAAGCGATTCTCCTGCCTCAGCCTCCCCAGTAGCTGGGATTACAGGCACGCACCACCATGCCCAGCTAATTTTGTAATTTTAGTAGAGATGGGGTTTCTCCATGTTGGTCAGGCTGGTCTCAAACTCCTGACCTCAGGAGATCCACCCACCTCAGCCTCCCAAAGTGCTGGGATTACAGGCATGAGCCACTGTGTCCGGCCTTCTCTGTACTCTTATCACTGCTACTGAGATTGTCATTAATTCTCTGACCATTTCCATCTGTGGAAATCTCTCGGGCTGCTTCCAGCTGGCCGTGGACATGTCCGCCTGTCTGTGTGCCTCACCTGGGGGTCTGTGTGTGCCCAACACCATGCCCATGTGGGCTTGGCCCCTTTTGTGTCCTGGGTCTAGATCCCGTGGCCACACATTCCTGTCCACGTACCCACGTGGACCTATGTGTGTGTACCCACATGTCCACACACCCGCCTATCTGCAGCCGGTGTATTTGTGTTGTGTGTCTTTGTCTCTGGGTCTCCGTGTCTATAGACACACATGAATCCATAAACCACAAACCACATGTCCACACATCTGAGGCCACATGTGTCTTCTAAGCATTGTGACGATGTTGAGGTCTGTGCCCTGTGGCAGCTGCTATATCCCAAGGGTGGCGTCCATGTGTCCAGCCATCTCGCTGACCGCATTTTCTTGTTTTTGAGACAAGGTTTCTCTCCCATTGCCCAAGCTGTAGTGCAGTGGTGCAGTCTTGGCTCACTACAACCCCACCTCCCGGGTTCAAGCCATTCTCCTGTCTCAGCCTCCTGAGTGGTAGCTGCGATTACAGGCATCCGCCACCATGCCCGGCTAATTTTTGTATTTTTAGTAGAGACCAGGTTTCTCCATGTTGGCCAGGCTGGTAGAACTCCTGACCTCAGGTGATCCGCTTGCCTCAGCCTCCCAAATTGCTGGGATTACAGGTGTGAGCCACCACACCTGACCTTGTCCATGTATTTTTAAATATTACTTATTTATTTAATTACGTATTTATTTATCTTAGAGACTGGGTCTTACTCGGCTGCCCAGGCTACAGTGGAGTGGCATGATCAGAGCTCACTGCAGCCTCAAACTCCTGGGCTCAAGCAAGGCTCCTACCCCAGCTTCATAAGTAGCTGGGACTACAGGCACCCACCACCATGCCCAGCTAATCTTTAAAATTTTTTGTAGAGATGAGGTCTTGCTATGTTGCCCAGACTGGTCTTAAACTCCTAGCCTCAAGCCATCCTCCCACTTTGGCCTCCCAAAGTGCTGGGATTACAGGTGTAAGCCACCGCACTGGGCAATGTTACTTATTTATTAAACCCTTTTATTTTATTTTATTTTATTTTTGAGATAGAATCTCACTCTGTCACCCAGGCTAGAGTGCAGTGGCACAATCTGGGCCCACGGCAACCTCCCAGGTTCAAGCGATTCTCCTGCCTCAGCCTCCGGAGCAGCTGGGATTACAGGCGTGCACCATTACCACGCCCAGCTAATTTTTGTAGTTTTAGTAGATACAGGGTTTTACTGTGTTGGCCAGGCTGGTCTCGAACTCCTGGCCTCAGGTAATCTGCCTGCCTCAGCCTCCCGAAGTGCTGGGATTAGCTGGGATTAGAGGCGTGAGCCAATACAGCCAGCCTATTAAACCCTTCTCTAGTGCATACTATGTGCCAAGCACTGTAATAATGCCTTACATATATTAATTCATTCAATGCCAAGCAGACACTATTCATAACTCTATTTACATAGAGGGAAACTGAGGCACCAGGTGGTTGTGAGGCTGCTGGGCAGGGGGTGTGTGTGTGCAAGTGAGTGCATGTGGCCCTGTGTACGCATCTGAGGGTGGTGTCGGTGGCCACGGTCCTCGTGTCTCACAGCTGTGTGTGAGCAATGCAAGGGCGTGGCCCCACTGCAGGTTCTTACCGTAGGCCCCTTCTGCATTTTCAGGACGGACACGGAGGCTCCTGGGAGCAGCTGATACAAGGTGAGTCAGGATCCTGGTCCCAGGGAAGGAGGCGAGATGATTCCCACGCTGCCCCCACCCCTTGGTCAATTGCCCAATATGATTTGCACAACTGGCCAAATCCTCACAGGTGCCCCTCCCCCAGGCCTGAGAAGCAGAAGTTTGGGTCACTCCGGAAGGGGTGGGGTTGAATCCAGGAGGTGTACAGGATGACCCTGTAGAAGGCTGGCTTTTACCTCCACTGTCTTCATTTCTAACCTCTGACCTCTCTCCCCAGAGCGAAGGTCTCACCAGAATAACCCAGCAGCGCATCTCACAGGTGAGGGGGACCCTGGATCCTGGCAAGGGGCAGGGGTCAGGGCGTCTCCGGAAGACCAGATAAACGCTATACATACCAGTGTATTCATTCATTCATTCCTTATTTACTCACAGAGTTGCTCAGAACATAGGCCACAAGTGCTACGTGTTTCCAGTTTTATTTATTTTATTATTTTCTTTTATTTAGTTTTTTATTTATTTATTTATTTACTTTTGAGAGAGTCTCGCTGTGTCGCCCAGGCTGGAGTGCAGTGGCATGATCTCGGCTCACTGCAATCTCCACCTCCAGGGTTCAAGCAATTCTTCTGCCTCAGCCTCCCAAGTAGCTGGGATTACAGGCGCCCACCACCACACCCGGTTACATTTTTTTGTATTTTTAGTAGAGACGGAGTTTTGTCATGTTGGCCAGGCTGGTCTCAAACTCTTGATCTCAGGTGATCCTCCCACCTCGGCCTCCCAAAGTGCTGGGAATACAGGCATGAGCCACCGCGCCTGGCCTAGTTGTATTCATTTAATGAACTCTCATATAGTACTTATGCTGTGTTATGTGCTATGACACGCTTTCTACATATTAATTCATTACATTCTAAGCAGGTGCTATTAATGTGTCCATTTAACAGAGAGGGAAACTGAAGCACACAGCAGGTGCGAGATGCCGCCTTGCTTTCTCGGTTTTGCAAATTTGCATGTTTGGACACTTTTTTTTTTTTTTTTTTGAGACAGGGTCTCACTCTGTCACCCAGGCTGGAGTGGCACTATCATGGCTCACTGCATCCTCAACTTGCCAGGTGCGAGCGATCCTCCCACCTCAGCTTCCCCAGCAGCTAGGACTACAGGTACCTGCCACCATGCCCAGCTAATTTTTTTGTTCTTTGTAGAGATGGCGTCTCCCTATGTTACTTCATCTGGAACTCCTGGCCTCAAACTCCTGAGTTTAAGGGACCTTCCTGCCTCAGCCTCCCAAAGTGCTGGGATTATAGGGGTGAGACGCCACACCCAGCCAAGTTTTGACACTTTTGGCAAGTCACTTAACGTTTCCATGCCTCAGTTTCCCCACCTGCAAAAGAGGGATGCAAAGAGTTGAGATGTAGACTAAACAAATTAATTTGCTTCTCTGTGCCTCAGTTTCCCTCATCTGCAGAGCAGGATTAAAGCGAATTAATACATACAAACAGTCTAGGCAGGGTGGTTCATGCCTGTAATCCCAGCACTTGGGAGCCTGAAGGATCGGTTGAGCCCAGGAATTTGAGACCAGCCTGGGCAACATTGTGAGACCCCGTCTCTACAAATACACACACATGCGTGCACACACGCGCGCGCACACACACACACACACTGCCTAGTGGTGACTGGCCTGGAGTCACACAGCAAAAGTAAGACATGTGAGGACAGACGTGGTGGCTCACACCTGTAATCCCAGCACTCTGGGAGGCCGAGGTGGGTGGATCACCTGAGGTCAGGAGTTCAAGACCAGCCTGGGCAACATGGCAAATCCCCGTCTCTACTAAAACTACAAAAAGTAACTGGGTGTGGTGGCAGGCACCTGTCGTCCCAGCTACTGGGGGGGCTGAGGCAGGGGAGTCGCTTGAACCTGGGAGGCAGAGGTTGCAGTGAGCCGAGATCACGCCACTGCACTCCAGCCTGGGTGACAGAGTGAGACTCTGTGTCAAAAACCAAACCAAACCAAAACAAAACAAAACAAAACAAAAACAGAGTAACACATGTGCTGACCGGCAGCCCCCTTTTGTCTCTCTCTCCCAAACAGGGGCCAACTCCAGCTTGACGGGCAGCGGGGGACCGCTGCTATGGGAGACCCAGCTGGGCCTGGCCTTCCTGAGGGGCCTCGACTACCACGATGGGGCCCTTGTGGCCAACAAGGCTGGCTACTACTACATCTACTCCAAGGTGCAGCTGGGCGGTGTGGGCTGCCCGCTGGGCCTGGCCAGCACCATCACCCACGGCCTCTACAAGCGCACGCCCCGCTACCCCGAGGAGCTGGAGCTGTTGGTCAGCCAGCAGTCACCCTGCGGACGGGCCACCAGCAACTCCCGCGTCTGGTGGGACAGCAGCTTCCTGGGTGGTGTGGTGCACCTGGAGGTTGGGGAGGAGGTGGTCGTCCGTGTGCTGGATGAGCGCCTGGTCCGACTGCGTGATGGCACCCGGTCTTACTTCGGGGCTTTCATGGTGTGAAGGAAGGAGCGTGGTGCATTGGACGTGGGTCTGACACATGGAGAACTCAGAGGGTGCCTCAGGGGAAAGAAAACTCACGAAGCAGAGGCGGGGCGCAGTGTCTCACGCCTGTAATCCCAGCACTTTGAGAGGCCTAGGCAGGCGGATCACCTGAGGTCAGGAGTTCGAGACCAGCCTGGCCAACATGGCAAAACCCCATCTCTACTAAAAATACAAAAATTAGCCAGACGGGGTGGTGCCTGCCTGTAATCCCAGCTACGCGGGAGGCTGAGGCAGGGGAATTTTGCTTGAACCCGGGAGGCGGAGGTTGCAGTGAGCCGAGATCGCACCACTGCAGTCCAACCTGGGCAACAGAGCGAGACTTTGCCTCAAAAAAAGAAAGAAGAAAGAAAACTCAGGAAACAGATCTTGGATCACATGCGAGGGAACCCAAAACTCGAAGGCGGAGAGTTCAGTGGGCACCACCAGGGACCAAGAACTCAGCCATCTTGAGGGGTTGAAGACCCAGCAGGCACCTTCAGAAGACCCACATAGACTGCAAACCCTGCCATGGACAATACTAAGGACAAAGACCCAGAGACTTGGGGTCTGTGGGCTCCCAAACATTGGGTAAAGTTGATTTGCCTGATATTCAGGAAGAAGGGGTGAGGGGTGGGTATTTATGCTTTTCATTCAGAAGAAAGTGGGACTTGGGACTTCAGGAACTTGGCTGGGGGTGGGAAACTTCCTCCACTTCCCTCCTCTCATCATGAGTACAGACAGGGTGGGCGGGAGACTGATCATCAGGACTCATCATGTAGAGCCCAGCCCACCCCACCTACAGTCAGAGTCACATACTCAGATCCCACCCACAGACTGGTGGCCACACCTCAGCCTGGTCACAAAGAGTTACACTCGGATACATGGGCACAGCAGTGTGCTCATAAATGTTTAAAAACCAGCTGTCCTCGGAGGGGGATAGCTTTGTAATGTTTGCCAATTTCCATGGTGCAAATGCTGCCACCATGGCTGATTTCATCACTGCCAAGCATAGACATCCCCAAGAGGGCACCACAGATCTGTCCCTGGCATCCAGCCCAGGACCTGGCACAAAGCAGGCCCTAGGGAAACGCTTGCTGATTGAAAGGAAGGAAGAAAGAATGACTATACAGTCACACCTATGGCATCCCACGAAATCTGTCACATGGCTGCGTAATCTCAGCCATTCTTTCACAACTATAGACTCATACACACGAAGTGCCAGACTCATGCACAACCACAGAATCACATGGAAGTCATAGACGGCATCACAGACAGTCGCAGCACTGTGTGTATGTTAAAACACAACCACACAAAACTCAGACAGCATCCCAGCCACACAGCCACCCCCAGAGGTGTCACCGTCACACTTGGTAATTAATACTCATTAGATCAGACACAGAGAGACCAAGTTATAGTCAGACCTGGTTACACACACATACACACACACAACACCACAATGGCAAACACACATGACACACATCACAATGACAAACACACATTATACACACATCACAGTGACAAACACATGACACACACACATCACAATGACAAACACACATTATACACACATCACAATGACAAACACACATTACACACAGACATCACAATGACAAACACACATTACACACACATCACAGTGACAAACACACATTACACACACACAACATCACAATGACAAACACACATTACACACACATCACAGTGACAAACACACATTACACACACACAACATCACAATGACAAACACACAGCATTACACACACACACACAACATCACAATGACAAACACACACACAACATCACAATGACACACACACAACATTATACATTATACACATATGCACACAGCCTGAGGGCCTTCCTCAGCCCAGACTAACACATCTTGGGGTGAGGACCAGCCCTTGTTCATAACCCTGGGCCTCTTAACCACTGATCTTTGAAATAAATGGCAAAGAGTTGTACCTGGATCTGTCTAGTTCTTGGGGGAAGAAACTGAAGAAGGGTAGAGAGGAATTGTCAGGCCCAAAGAGCCCCACAGGGAAAGGGAGGAGTCGGAGGGGGGCAATCATTAGCAACAGGTGGTGGCTCCTAGAGGCAGAGGGATGGAGGTAATGACCCGTGGAGGTCATTTTACAGACAAGGAACCTGAACCCAGTTGGCTCAAGTCCATGCAGGAAATGTGGGGGAAACCAGAGACCTCACGTCTGGATCTGGCTTCCTCTCCAATCCACAATTCCTGAGGAAGTAGAGGCTACATCCCACAAGACGCCCTTATTAGACACATCCAGGACAGAGTGACAATCCGCCAAGCCAGTTAGAAGCATAAAACACAGGGAGCTGGTGGGTTGGGTGGGGGCAGATAATGATATGCATGCAAATTAGAGGGTCTATGCAAATGAGTATTGCCACGGAGGGACTCCTTAGTTCCTAGGACTCTAGGATATGGGTTTCGACCCCAGAGGCGAATGTATTGTTATTATCATTTTGTTGTTGTCATGAATGACAAGTCAAAATTTGTGGGCTGCTGTTGTTATTGCCAATAGTATTCTTGCCATTGTTGCACAGTACAGGGATGAAGGAAACAGACTCTGCAATCAGATGATCCTGGGTTCTGAGTCCACTCTGCCACTCACTAGCTATATGACCTCGAGCAAGTTCCATCACCTCTCAGTGCTTCAGTTTCCCCATCGGCAAAATGGTTGTGGGGGGAGAGGAACAACAGTACAGATTCACCATCGCAAACTCAAAATGCTCCAAAATCTAGGCTGGGCGTGGTGGCTCATGCCTGTAATCCTAGCACTTTGGGAGGTCAAAGTGGATGGATAACCTGAAGTCAGGAGTTCCAGATGTGGCCAACATGATGAAACCCCATCTCCTAAAAATACAAACAATTAGCTGGGTGTGGTGGGGGGGCACCTGTAATCCCAGCTACTCGGGAGGCTGAGGCAGGAACCCGGGAGGTTGAGGTTGCAGTGAGCCGAGATCACACCACCACATTCCAGCCTGGGTGACAGAGCAAGACTCCCATCTCAAAAAAAAAAAAACATACTCCAAAATCTGAAACTTTTTGAGCCCCAATGTGATGCCACAAGTGGGAAATTCCACAACTCACCACATGAACAGGTTGCAGTGGAAATGCAGGCACGCACCACAAAGTTTACTCAGCATCCTCAAGGGAAATCCCCATCAGTAGCTATATATCATTTTCTCACATGCCAGATAGGTATCTCACATCTTTTACTGTTAAGTACTTATGGGTGAATAAGTGGAGGAAAGCGATTGCTGGTTAGTAGTATATAAATTCAGAGTCAGGAATGATGGTGATATTGGCCGGGTGCGGTGGCTCACACCTGTAATCTCGATGTGATACCCTACCTTGTTTTTAACCTGATTGACTCTCTCCTAGCAGACAGAGCCAGACAGACTCCATTTTGACTCCTTCACTGACAGCCCCTTACTCACCCCCCTTCCTTAAGGACTTAAGCTGACTCCCAGCACATCCAAGAATGCAATTACTGATAAGATACTGTGGCAAGCTATATCCGCAGTTGCCAGGAATTCCTCCGGTTGATAGCACCCAAAGCCCCCGTGTCTATCACCTTGTGATAGATTTAAAGCTCCTGCACCTGGAACTGTTTGTTTTCCTGTTACCATTTATCTTTTTCACTTTCTTGCCTGTTTTGCTTCTGTAAAATTGCTTCAGCTAGGCTCCCTCCTCCCCTTCTAAACCAAGGTATAAAAAGAAACCTAGCCCCTTCTTCAGGGCCGAGAGAATTTTGAGTGCTAGCCGTCTCTTGGTCGCCGCCGGCTAATAAAGGACTCCTGAATTAGTCTAAGAGTGTGGCGTTTCTCTATAACTCGTTCGGTTACAACACCAGCACTTTGGGATTCCAGCCGAGGGGCGGGGGGGTGGATCACCTGAGGTCAGGAGTTCGAGACCAGCCGGGCCAACATAGTGAAACCCCTTTCCTACTAAAATACAAAATCAGCTGGGCATGGTGGCGTGCGCCTGTAATCCCAGCTACTTGGGAGGCTAAGGCAGGAGAATCGCTTGAATCCAGGAGGTGGAGGTTGTAGTGAGCTGAGATCGCGCCATTGCACTCTAGCCTGGGCAACAGAGCATGACTCTGTCTCAAAAAAAAAAAAATACAAATAATAAATAAAAAAAAGGAACGATGACGATGCCAAGCAACCACAGATTGTCCACATGGGTGGCTGAGACAGTGACCTTTGCTTTCAAACGGTTTAGTGTACACCAACTTTGTGTCATGCACAAAATTATTAAAACTATTGTATGAAATTATCTTCAGTCTATGTGTATAAGGTATGTATGAAACATAAACGAATTTCTTTTTTTTTTTTTTTTTGAGACTGAGTCTCCCTCTGTCTCCCAGGCTGGAGTGCAGTGGCAAGATCTCGGCTCACTGCAACCTAGTTTTTTTTTTTTGTATTTTTAGTAGAGACAGGGTTTCATCATGTTGGCCAGGCTGGTCTCGAACCCCAGGTGATCCACCCCCTCAGCTTCCCAAAGTGCTGGGATTACAGGCTTGAGCCACTGCGCCCGGCATATTCAAGGCCTAGGCATCTTGTATGAGTTATACATTTATAGACATCCTTTGGCTTCGGGCAGGAGCTGTTACTGTCTGCACATTTTAGATGCAGAACTGTGGTCCGAGAGAGGCAGGGATGCTCTTTACCTCTGCCAAGGGTGAGCAGTGGATTCAGGGCAGTTTCCTGCCTCCCTGCCCTTGCTGGGCTGGTGGGAGGTAGGAGAGCCCCCAGTACCTGGCCCCAACCCCTGCTGGAGTTTCCTTCACTCTCATCATGGTCTTTCTGTTTCTGTGGCTTTGATGAGGAAACCAAGGTGTGGAGAGCATGTATTGATAAAAGTCACCAGCAGCTACCAGCTTCCGCCTGGGGATGGAACCTCTTGCTAAGTTTAGCCTCCAAAAAATCATTCTGGGAGGGGTCTCTCAACCTGAAGGAGCAGGAGAAAGAGGAAGAAGGAGACATGGGTGAGGAAGAGGATGGAAAGAGATGGGGAAGGGCAGATGAAGAAAGAGGAGGTGGAAGGAGGGAGGAGGAGGATGGAGAGGGAAAGAGGGGGGAGAGTCAGAGGAAGAGTGGGGGTGGAAGGAGATGGAGGGGAAAGAGAGGAGGGAAAGGAAAGTCAGGGAGGGGAGGAAAAGATGAGAGGCGACCAAGGAAAAACCCCACAAAGACTGGTGTGACAAGAGACCTTACACCCATACTTGACCTTCAATAAACTATAGGAACAGAGACCTCCTATACCAGGCTGCTAACCCACTTTTGACTTCTGAGAAGTTTATCTACCTCATTTCCGCTTCTCGCCTCCTGGGCTCCAGCATCTTTTCAGATTGCATCCTCACTGCACCCTCCAACCCGCCACCACCATCAGCTCTTCCTCAGGACCTGAAGTCCACCGTCCTCACCCTACCCCCACCCTCTGGGCAGGAAATCCTCCCCCCTCTTCATCTCTTGCCAAGACCAAGAGGTGGTAGAAGTGAAAAGGCCATGATGAGAAAACAAATTATTATTATTATTATTTTGAGACTCAGTCTCGCTCTGTCGCCCAGGCTGGAGTGCAATGGTGCGATCTCGGCTCACTGAAACCTCTGCCTCCAAGGTTCAAGTGATTCTCCTGCCTCAGCCTGCCGAGTAGCTGGGACTACAGGCGCCCGCCACCTCGCCCGGCTAGTTTTTTGTATTTTTTTAGTAGAGATGGGGTTTCACCGTGTTAGCCAGGATAGTCTCGATCTCCTGACTTCGTGATCCGCCCATCTCGGCCTCCCAAAGTGCTGGGATTACAGGCTTGAGCCACCGCGCCCGGCCTTTTTTTGGTAGTTTTGTTAGAGATGGGGTTTCAACATGTTCACCAGGCTGGTCTTGAACTCCTGACCTCAGGTGATCCACCTGCCTCGGTCTCCCAAAGTGCTGGGATTACAGGAGTGAGCCACCATGCCCGGCCGAGAAAACATATTATTAATCTCATAGTAGGACGCTATGTTCCTCCTGCTGAATGGCACGGCATTTGAACACGTGAGATGCATCGTTGCAGAGAATCAGGCTCGTTCTCATACTGGTCCGATGACCAGAAT